ACAGTCGAGTCAGGCACCACAAGCGTACAAGAGAAGCGCGTGACAGTATCAGGCGCAGTAGGAGGGAAGGTTTCGGCAAGTGGTATAGAAGTGTGGGCGGCAGCAATGACGGCAGGGGTAGGGGCCGGGACTGTTGGAAGAACCCAGCGACTGCCATCCCAGACACCGTGGGACGTAGGACCAGGGGAAGGGGGAGCAGGGGGTGGAGCAGGCGTACCATACTCAAGGCGGTCTAGACGGTCGGTGAGGCGAGTAATTTCGCTCTGCAGGAGCAGGCAGTACGAATACAGGTCAACAGGAACGCCAGGAGTCGTCATTGGAGAAGAGCAGGCAAGCACAGTAGGGTGAGGACAAATATAGGAGATAGAGAGGATCAACTGGGGCTAGAAGAGTGCCAGAGTCGATATAGAGGCTTTGGTATGCTGTCAGGGGATGAGGGTCCAGGTGCCTAGTTGATACCAAAGCCGGGGAACAGCCCCACGGCCAACTACTTAAGTACAGGGCTATCTGCGCACGGACCAGTCACGTGATCAGTCACAGCCGTCACATCACATGCTCCCCTTACACCAACCCCTCCTCAAGATCCGTCGCCTCGACGGATAGGCGGAGTGTAGGGTTCTGCGAACTCGTATTCGGGATCGCCAGGGAAATAGAGGTTGTCGCCTATGACGCGCGATGACTGCGCAGGTACGCCCCCTCGTCGGGCGGTCTGCCGGTTACGCGGCCGGGCGTGAGCTACGTCGATCTGCATAGGAGAGCCGATCGGGGTAGGTGACGCACTGGTCAGCGCCGACGGAGTGGCCATAACCACCGAGGGTGCGAAGGGAGTAGGGTAAGGCTGGGGGGTAGGAAGAGATGGTGCCGCGGCCTGCATAGGTTGGGTAGTGGCGGCAGCAGGTTGGCGGGGTAGGGAAGACGGGAAGAGGGGGGAAGACAGTCGCGAATGCCCAGCTGGCCCACCGGCGGCCGAGGCCCTCGGATGAGTGGCAGGTCGAACCGCAGTAGTGGCGCGGGGCACCTGAGACTGGGCGTGGATCACGGTGGACGAGCGGTGCGGAGGGGCACGGTCGACATCCATCTTCGTGGCACGTGGTACAGGCACAGGCGCGGCAGGAGGAGGGGGGGCAGGTCCCTCAGCAGACGGTGGCTGACGTTGCTTCTTCGCACGGACACGCTTGCGCATGAACCGTTTCCCAAGCGCAATAAGCGCTTCACCGATTTGCTGGTCGGTTCCCCGGATAGAGACCCGGCGCTCGCCAGGCGCAGCGCGATCAGAGTACGCGCAACTGAGCACCGGAAGTGTCGTGAGCTTGGTGGAGACCCTTGCCGCCACGACCCACGATATGCCCGACAGTCGAGTCAGGCACCACAAGCGTACAAGAGAAGCGTGACAGTATCAGGCGCAGTAGGAGGGAAGGTTTCGGCAAGTGGTATAGAAGTGTGGGCGGCAGCAATGACGGCAGGGGTAGGGGCCGGGACTGTTGGAAGAACCCAGCGACTGCCATCCCAGACACCGTGGGACGTAGGACCAGGGGAAGGGGGAGCAGGGGGTGGAGCAGGCGTACCATACTCAAGGCGGTCTAGACGGTCGGTGAGGCGAGTAATTTCGCTCTGCAGGAGCAGGCAGTACGAATACAGGTCAACAGGAACGCCAGGAGTCGTCATTGGAGAAGAGCAGGCAAGCACAGTAGGGTGAGGACAAATATAGGAGATAGAGAGGATCAACTGGGGCTAGAAGAGTGCCAGAGTCGATATAGAGGCTTTGGTATGCTGTCAGGGGATGAGGGTCCAGGTGCCTAGTTGATACCAAAGCCGGGGGAACAGCCCCACGGCCAACTACTTAAGTACAGGGCTATCTGCGCACGGACCAGTCACGTGATCAGTCACAGCCGTCACATCACATGCTCCCCTTACAGGGGTTCCCCTGACACAGGTACTCTCGGCACAGAAAGAATGCAGCTCCACAAATTAGATTTGAAATGTTTCTTTTAAATTTTTTTTTTATTTCACTGGAAACAAATGGTTTCCACAAGAGGAAAGTCCGTTGTGAAATTCACTGTCTGCAGAAAGAAATTACTGTTTTCGGAATGGATTTTTTTTTTCAAAATATATATTTCCATTTATGGTCAGGAAAATCATTTACCAAATGTCATAAATTTTACACATTTCACATTTTCCTCGTCTCCAATTGAAACTGGTCTTTATAATGGATTTGAAGATTCCTATTAATTTTAGCAACGTGGTAAGATCTACTGTAATACTGTAATGAGCACACAAGCTTACCAGCAACTTGAATAAGTTGTTTCTGCAGATGGTGTCGGTTCAAGTTGGGTGTCGGCCTTGCTGCTACTATTATAAAATCACACTATTATAGAATCACAAGATCAGAAGGAAGAATCCGCTTGTCTGCACACCAATCCACCATAGTCCTAGTTGTACAACTTGAATCATCATTCAGCACACCATCTGCATCCGAGTCTGAATCCCTCTCGATCGCAACAGCATACAGGGCCGCATCGCGCTGATATGCTCGCGATTCGCAGGGGGTCGCTTCTTCCGCCACAGCAGCATCACTTCCGGACACGAGCTTAGCCTATTGTGTGATGCCGTCCAAGATTCAAGAACAATGCGCTTCGCACCCGTGATGTAGTAGATTGGATTGTGATATCTGCCAGTGGCGGATGCCACGCGGCCCACGCCGCTGCTGTACAGACCACCAACAAGCCATAGGTTAGACGCCGTGCCTGCGGCGAAGCCATAACTGAGCCAGTTTGCGGTCCAGTTGCCAACGTCGGCTACTAGTAACGCTGAAAGGACAATGGGCGTCCACAGGAGCGGCCGCCACTCAGCCATTGTGGGCATGCAGAATCCCTTTGTGTGGCAGCCGCGAGGCGCACTCTAACATTGACGCCTTGCAGTGATTCTGGGCGAGTCATCGGATGATATCGCCCCTCGCTTATCGCCTTTGATTCTGCATTCGTGACTCGCGATCGATGGCGGGGCCGGGCCGGACCGCGGTCTCATAGTAGCGGCGTTCATCTCACACTGGGATTGCATTCACTGCACATAGGTCGATTCGCAGCGCAGGGCGAAAAGTGGACAGACGCCGACGTGGCAGGAGGAGCGAAGTTTTCCTGGCCCCCAGGCTGTTTCCCACGGCCTGCCAATCACGTCAGGCGGATAGGGAGGATTAGATAAGATTACTGGAAGATACTGACACTTATCTCTTGCATGATTCCCCCAAGATTCCCCGCCGATGAAGGGCAGCGGTACCTCCGCCGATCCCCCGCCTTCCATTCCGCCGGCGATGCTCGTGCACGTCGCCGAGCCGCAAGCGAGCAGCGCATCAGAAGGCGAAGAACCGACCGCGTCGCGAACTTGATGACAGCGTATTTACGCCCGGAAGCGCTCTCCCTGCTCCGCGAAGCGCCGACGCGGCAGGCGGCGGATCCCGGGGCCGGATCATGGATGTCGGATGGCGAGTTTCAAGCTTAGACTTTGACTTCGTTAGCGTGCCGAAGCGGCCTTGGCCCTTTGTTCCTGGCTAGCGAGCTTATAGAGGACGTGCGTGTGGCGCCGCGGGTGATGCTGATGGCGAGCTCGGGCTCCGCTCGGATGCGACCTGTTGCGATGTACGCTGTCGTCTGCGCCAGGCCCGGCGATAGAGGGCTATCGTTGTTTGCTATCAGCGAGGTCGACGAATTCCGTGTATCGCGGAGCACAGAACTCGACGCTAATACTAAAAGTAACCAAGTACGTGCCCGACCCGGCCCCGCCCGGTGTGCGGCGTGCGCGACAAGGTACATCGTTGGCCCGCCCCGGGGTCCGGGCGGGCTCGGAGGGGCAGCTGACGTCGATGTGGGGAAAAGAGATGACGAGAGGACGCGCTGTCAGCCCATTTTACCGCCAATTTATCGCTCGGCAATTGCGGATGGCTTGTCTTTGATGCCCGGGGATCCTCTGAGAATAAGCTGCTGACTACTGAGCCTTGGCTGAGGAACACGATTATTCAGCAGGCGACGGCGCTGGCGCTGCGCGCCCAATCCTAATGATGGCCCAGGTTGCGTGCCAGCCACCAATGACCGCGTTGCCTGTTCAACGTTACATAATCGCCTGCCTGCGCCACGGGCCATAAATTCGCGGTCGTCGCCTGCTTACGTCTCCGCGCTGACCGGCGCGCGCCTCGATCGGGCCTGTCCAAATCGGGACGCACCCATCTGAGCCAGCGCGGCTCGGGTGAGTCATCTGCTTTCGGACACTGTTTGACGGCTGCCACTATTTTCGCCACGACCACGCCGAGTAAATACATATACTGACCCGTTCTGTGGGAGTGAAACATAATAGGTAACGGGCCCTATGTTTCACGGCCAAACCTATCCAAATTAGGCAATTTTCGCCCACAGCCACTCCCAAAAAGGGAATTTCCGCACATAATCCTGGCTGTTTCAGTGTTTCAGGCCTGTAACAGTCCTCTAAGTGTTTCACTCTCACAGAACCAGTCAGTAAGGCGCTGCTGCGCGCTGGGCTGGGCTCCGTCCGCCCTAGGTCCGCAGATGCCCGCTTCGCCGATACACGCCCGCGTCCCTCGTGAACCCCGCCACGCACTCGCTCATGGAGCTCATCGATATACGCCTGACAAAGCAGGTCGTCAGTGCGTCGGGTCTTGTCTTGCACGCCGTGATCCGCGCGAATATGAGTAGCGCATTTCTCCTGCCCTTGGCCTGTGCGCCCCAGCGCCGCAGCACCATGATGCCGCTCGACAATTGCTTCCATGACCCGTCGCGGCTGTTCGGTTATCCTTCACATGGAGAACTCACATTTGCATGGCATGAATACCTCCTCTGTGGCTTTATATTCCCTACCTACCTATCGTCATATACGTGAATTCTTAGGGCTCGAAAAACCTAGAATATTTAGAACCAATATTTTTATTAAGCGAGTGCAAATGACATGATGGACCGGCGCTTGGCGCCGGTTTCTTCTCACACCTCTCAACGGCCATGCCTTATCAGACGCTGGCAGATATTGAGAACGACGTCCTCGATGCTGCTGCTACAGCATTGTTCATCGCGGATCTACTCGGACGTGACACAGAGGCCGACGATGATGATGACGACACAGAGACAAGCTCACAAGAAGGGCAATCAGAGAGTGGTTCAGACTCCGAAGATGGTGGGGAGCTTGAGCAGATGCTCGTGGATAGCAGACAGCAGACCGAGACTGCATTGACTTTGTTTGGAGCAATGTTGGTCGATGAGGCTGCCAGTTTACGTGGGGATGGTACCCGTGGACCCTACTTTCGTATGCTGACAACAAACGACTGGTTTGTACGAGCTCTGGATCTTCCCGATCGACAATTTCGATCGGTATTTCGGTATCCATTTCTTTCACAGATGTTCAATGATTACTGACAAGGCTCACAGGATTAGTCGCCCCACATTTGACACATTCTGCACGATACTTGGCCCTAATCCAATCTTCCATTCAACTGGTCGAAAGCCGCAGCGTGATATCAGCTGGCAACTTGGCGCATTCCTGATCAGATATGGCCAACTAGGCTCTTCTGTGCAGGATACAGCTCTGAAACTAGGAGTTGGCTATGGGACCGTCTTGTCATATTGCCGCCGAGTAATCCGAGCAATTCGGATGCTGAAATCAAAGTATGCTAGCTGGCTTTCGGAGGAAGAGCAACAGTGCTCAATTGATGTCATTCGTCAACGGACTGGGTTTACAGACTGTGTTGGGAGTGGTGATGGATCCTTAGTCCAATCGTCTGAGCAACCACTATGGATGGGTTCTGCGTATCTCAGCCGCAAAGGTTTTATGGCGGTATGATTTTCAGAGACCAGAAGAAATTAAGCTGACCACGATTTAGTACTCTGTTTTTGCCATTGTGGACAGCTTTGCCGCCTGGGATCTTGGTTGGCCAGGAAGTGTGACAGATGCTCGTGTATTCAAGAATTCACATTTTTGGCGCTTCCGACACCAATATCTGCAGTTTGGACACCGAATTCTGGTTGACAAGGGATATGCCTCAACGCCCTTTACGATCCGCCCATTTAGCGAGCCTGAACTAGCCAGCGCATCTGCTGCTGATCGTCACCGCATGAAGAACTTCAACTACCTGCTATCGACTCAACGTATAACAGTCGAGCATGCATTTGGTTGTCTCAAGCTACGGTTTCGCAGTATGCAGATGATGGGGGGACACAAACAGGTACAGAACGTTTGGCGTGCAATTGAAGCCATGATGATAATGCATAATATGTGCCTAATCCATGATGATCATCCAAATCGGTTCAAGGAATATACACCAGGAATGGGTGACCAACTTGCAATTGATACGGCTGGCAATGATGCTGATATTCCAGAGGAAGCGGAACCAGGTTTTATTATGCCAAATGTACCGGCATATAACAGCAGCATGGCTAAAGGCTGAAGGTCTACGAAAACGTCAAGAGCTGCTAGATCATCTATTTCCGTTAAACCATGTATAGTAGGAAGAATAAAGAACAGACCTCCCGCCCCCTTCTTATTCTTCATATTTGGCGCCTCGACCTTTGGCATGACAGCCGGACCTCTCGCCCCCCTTCTTATTCTTCGCTCCTTTCGGGACGGCCGGGTCCCTTGCGTTTGGGCATCATTGTGGAGTCGCCCGGCAGGTCAATATGAGTCCTCTTTGTCAGCTGCGAGCTTGCAAGCGTCGGACTTGCACTCCGTTTCCTGGTGATGTCGTGTTGTTGAGTATCATCGACAGCCAACAGGCTCTCAAGTTCTGCAGTATTGCGACACAGCCCTGTCGATGGTGGGAGCACAGTGGGACGGGGGATTTGTGGGAATCACGTAGTTGTTGCAAATGGAGCATCGCGAGGGGATGGCGGGTTAAAGATTACATGTTGGCCCATGATTTCGTAGCGCTGGCCAGAAGACCCCGTGTTGTCAGGTTTGTAGTATTGGTCCAATGCATAGCGATGTTGAGAAGTGTGGGGAGAAGGTGTTCCGAGGCTCGGGGCTGGACAGAGCCCATGCAAAGAGTGAGTTGACCAGTCAGAAAAGTCGAAGTTATGTGCAGCAAACGGATTGCGTGTCGGTTCACTGGCTGCAGTAGAACAGGTGTCGGAATCCCAAGGGTTGACCGGACTATGTCCCAGCTCTGCAGAGGTCTGAATGTCGTGTCCTGGCAGGCCTATCCGGGGAAATGAAGCTTCATATCTCTGACAGTTGTCAGACCTGTCATGAAGCTTCGTTATTGGCAGCTTACCAGAGGTCCCCCAACAGCATATCAAACGTACCTTTTCCCTCACCCAAACCCTAACCAAACCCTAACCAAACACTAACCAACCCTACCCAAACACTAACCAACCAAACCTAACCCTAACCGAACCCTAACTAAGTAAAAAAACAGTATATTTTGAGTCTAAGTTGACTGACAGTTCTCTGATCAATGAAGCTTCGCCCTGGGCATCAGCGATCACCAGCCGCGAAGCTTCATGACATCTTGGGAGATTGTCAGTGGTGATGCATCACTTCCCCGGCCTCTGGTGGTCCTGGTTGGTGGGCATGAGCTGTATGGCTACGCTCTGCCGCCATTTCTGCGAGTGCTTCAAGAGCATTGAGAGGACTGAGCGCCGGGTTCTGAGGACCAGTCAGAGGTAGCCTGCAGCTGTACTGTCACTCACCATTGCTACGCAGATGAGCCTGCACCAGGTAGTCGCTGGCCACCGTCTTTGGCTTGAGAAGCCTGGAGTTTGGACGTGCTCCCGTTGAGTGGTAAAGAAACCGGCGCCAAGCACCGGTCCATCATGTCATTTGCACTCGCTTAATAAAAATATTGGTTCTAAATATTCTAGGTTTTCGAGCCCTAAGAATTGAGCACGTCTAGTGTACAGCCACGTATACTTAGCTATATTTTCTGGAAAGAAGTGAATGAAGAAGAAGAACATGTTGTGTACATCTTGGCTCAGGACGGGCAGGCAGAACGAGCAGAACGAGTCTGAACGACGATTGCGACGCACGTCTAATCCCTGTCTAGGCCCTAATGGCATTACCTTTGCCAATTTACGCGGTGCGGATGTGCATGCACGCTTTGGGGACAAGGGCCTCGCTGGGCCTGCATGATTTGATGCGTCGATGACGCGCCATCATGCTGCCGCGGCGCCAATCAAATGGGCGTGCCGTTGATGCGGTCAGAGAGCGATGACCGCATCAACAGCCGATTGTAGCAGACCGCGTGGAAGTGGGTGAAGTGGGCTCGGCGCGACGACCCACGTGGCGTAGGCGCTACGGCGCTGTTGGTTCCAGCCTGTTCCAGCGCGCCTGCACGCAGTTCAGGCACGCCGAGCCCCTCGGCAAGTCCGCAATGACGTGACGCTCCACCAGGGGCGATGTGTAGGCGATACCGGCGTGCGCGCCCGATCGCTGGCGCTTGCCGTGATGACGCACTGTGCACACAACAGCGGGAGGCAGATCCGCGCGCGCCGCGGCGACGGTCAGGCCTGGTCAGGCCCGCGCCGTGTGGTGGGTGGAGTGGGAAGGTGGTCGTCCCGCGCGTTTGTGCTAAGCGTGCATGTGGCGAGCAGCGAGCAGCGAGCACAGGGATATGCATGCCGGAGGGCCTGGACCGCGATCGGCCGTGTCTCGGGCGCTTCCATTTGAGCCGGTTTAGTCATTGATTCTATGATATTAGGGGCCTATGTACTATGCCTTTATCTGTTGTATATCTTGTTATTGACGTAGATGATGGCAGCAGAAAGGGTGGAGAGATTCTGTTAATACTCTAGCCCGGTCTGTTTTTACTAAGTTGTTTTGCTTACCAGGTAATTACTGTATAAGTAGGCTCAGAACATGTATCCTACTTAGTGCTGGCCAAATATGATTATATTATTTTATGGGCATAATATATTATAATTATATCATATTCAGAGCTCCAACACAAGAATATATTTGTAGTATACAGTATAGTTCAGCAGGTGTGAAACGTCGCACAATGAACTTGTAATGTAACAAGTTCATTATTGATGGAATTACTATACATGGTAGGCCGGCGATAGCCGGCCGAAGTTTTTTTGATATATTACCGCCTAATTAGGACACATTTGTTAGTCAATTCACGCGTAACTTATTTCAATTAGGTTCAGTTCAGGTACACGTGGAATGTGTCACCTGAACTTATGGTAGTATAATCATATTCAGCTGCAAAATATGAATATGTTATGAATATAGCCAACTATAATCTAGTATGCATATATCTTAATATATACACATGGCAAATTGAAAAATTTCATTCCCAGTAAAAACATGAATTAATTTTACACACTTTTATATACATTTCTCAGTGAAGGAAATACTGAATTTTAATTGCATGGAAACAGATATCAAAACAATGCCATTTTGCTTGTGTTTCAGACAGACAGAAAGCTGACCTTTCCCCGATCATGAAAGACCATTTGAAAGATGGGCTTTCAATGCTTCTTTCTGTTTACATAAAAAGGTCACCTTTGTGTAAAAACTAAAAGATCACTTGAAATTGTGTTCCCTTTTAAGCTGCACAAAGAACTGATTTCAATCATGCAGAAAGACGCTCAGAAAGTTGTTCTTTCTCTTTCTCTTTTGTTGCCATATAAAGATATTCTATGTTTCTAAAAGAAAGAGAAAGAGAAAGAACATCTTTCCCTGCACCTTTCTCATGCAACAAAAGATGGCCTTTTTGGAGATACAGAAAGTGAGAGAGAAATAAGATATTTATTTTATACCCTAGGGTCTACCCCACAGCTCAGCTAGGGTTATCTTCTATGTAAAGTGCAAATTATGGTACTAGTATACTAATTTGATGCTAGTGATCTCAGTCAGTCCCACCAACCAAAATCCAACCCATTGGCATCACGTCTTCCCCAATCACTGGCCGGTTGACCACCTTCCACTGTCATCATTGATGTGGCCGTCATACACCACGATCAAGGGCGGATTACGCAACTTTGGGGCATTGTAGTGAATGACATAAGCAAGCCGAGGTGAGAAACTTGAAATTTTCCTCCTAGTTTTTTTCTCTATATATAGTCTGACATTTTTCTTAGTAATAAGTAGGTAAAAACTCAAAAGTTTTTTTCTGACATTTTTGAAGCAAAAGCTGCCAAAAAAAAAGTTCAAATTTTGACTTAAAATTTCTTCGAAATTTGAAATATTTTTTACCTAACTTTTCACAGTGTAAGGGCAACCTTGCAAGGCTCAAAATCAGAAGTCGGTCTAGCCCAAGGGCCGGGGAGTGTCGGAAAGGACTGATGGGAATGGCGGCCAGCCATGACCACTGGAGGGTAGCGACAGGAGGGTCACTTGGAGACGTCCCCGGACGTCTCCAAAGAGGTGGAGGTGTGAGGGCGTGCAACCTGGGGTGCTGCAGTAGGCACGAGCCTTAACGGCAGTAGGCCTCACTCAAAGGAAGACCCGATCACGGGGGCCGTGGTGGCGGAGTGGGGGGCGGAGCCATGGCGGGGCTCAGCCATCCGAACGTAAGCCCGAACGCTGACATAGGTTGGGGACACCCAAGAGGTCCAACGGGTAGAGGTTGCAGGGAGACCTTGATGAGCGACAGCCCAGAGAGGCTATAAGGCCATAGGCTTGAGGTCTCAGAGGAAAGTGGTGCGTCCACATCCGGAGAGGTCTCCGATGGCATTAGTAATCCCTGATGGTGACTCCGGAGAGACTCCCAGAAAGGGGTGGCCATGGGAGTCGGAGGTTGGAGACCACTGGATGCGGGATGTGGTGGGAGAAGTGGAGGAGGAGCGTCAGGGTGCAGGAATACAGAGACTCGGGTGGAGACACGGAGACGTGAGTGGAGATGCGGAGACGTGAGCGGAGATGCGGAGACATGAGCGGAGACGCGGCGCTTGATGGGATCAAGTGACGGCATCAGGGTTTCCCCTGACACACAGGGAAAAATTATGGAAACAGCCCAGTGAAGATTGCTGCAGCTGAAATCCGAGTTACTACTGCTCAAAGAGACAATTGACCCCAATCAGCATAATAACTGGGCAGCTGATGCCAAGAAGATGGGGAGTCATAATCCCAATTATCTCCAAGGTCTCGTTGGCATTACAGTGCTGCTCAGTCTTTTGGGCAGTGGACGGCAAAAGGCAAGAGATATAAATTAGATTTATAAGATAGACACACTTCTGGGCATGTATCACACTTGTGTAATATATTTATTTGACTCTGCCCTACTATGAACACCCCAGGACAAGATTTTGGACAAGCAATAAAATGTTGACTTGCCCGGAGTCTTAGATAAATTAAAATAAGTATTGCTCAACTTTTATTGAGAGGTTGCATGCGTGTTAAATGGAAAACATTAGTTGTTGGGTAAGGCATGGATATGGAGTCATATTAGTACTTATGACAGGCCACCAGCAGGTATGTCCAGGGTAGTCACTGCTGATGAGTAGCCTAGGCTTGCAGGTACCTACACTTTGGCACTTGATTTCTCACAAGAATGCCCAGGTCCGGGTCGCCGCTTTTGCGCAAAACCCCCATGTGCTTTCCACATTGTTAAAATATACATCTTTTTTGTCTACTACTTCATCCTTCTGGGACAACTCATAAATGTGACAGTACAATTGAAGGACGAATACATGTCCCACAATTCCGAAAGGATGGTATCTAACTAGTATTTTGAAGGCACACATGTATTTCTATATTGAACCCCAGTCTAAGAACATCCCACTGCGTAAGTCGCATCTACTAGTACTAGAACAGCGCTTGAAGCGAATACGCCGTCAACGCCGTCATCGACACTAGCATCAGCGCGTACTGCGGGAGGAGGAACGGCGCCAAATGCTCGGCGCTGCCGGTCCCGCTCGCGACCTGGGTGACAAACACCTGCGTCGTTGCTGTAGGCAGGCAGGAAAAGAACCTGTACGAACAGTGAGTAGATAATAGTAAGTAAACAGATACACACATGCACACGAACTGCAACACCTTGTCGCCACTATCGATCACCCCGACCTTGACGAATCCCCGCGTGATGAGCACGCCAAGCACGGGGAACACGACCAGGCGGCCAATGCTCAGCCCGACGATGGCGCCGACTGGTAGGTCGCGGAGACGGCTGGGTACTCGTAGGCGCGCAAGTGCCGACCCGAGGCAGATGAGCCCCATAGGCACCGCCGCGCCTCCAATGAACGCGCCGGTGTCGAGCAGGAAGGAGAGCGGAGGGAGGCCGTCCGGCGCTGGGTGGATGTGCCATTTTTCAGCGCCGGGGTCCGCAACAAATAGGGCTTTTAAGGGAGGAGCAAGCGCGATAATGAACGAGACGAGGATGCTGGCCGAGATGGGTTGCATGAGATTGCGCAGGAACGCCCGGAGGAAGGCGATGAAGCGATTTTGAGGGGAGGAGAAGGTGGGGTTTCGAGGGTGAGGGCTTGCCGGCCGGGACAGCGCCGCGATCGTGTCTTCGCCGTCAATGGCGGTGGTGGAAGCGACATGCGAGTGGTGTGTTGTCGGCAGGGGGCGTGTAGTCGTATCATGCATGAAGGAAACGTGTTTGGCGCCAGCGACGCCTTTCTCGATATCACCCGCAACATCGTCTTCCTTTGGCCTTGCTGACTTCTTATCCGAAAGTCGCAACACTCCCCACGCCTCCCGCCGTCTCTGCTTCAACTCAGCCCGTACATCCTCGTCCTCGACATCAGGCCCAACAAAGTCCTGCGTGACGAGGCGAATACCGCCGAGAATAAAGAACGACATCTGTTTTCGCATAAGCTCTACGCAGGGGGAGAAAAAATGACCATCACGCACCAGCCCGACCAACAGAAAGCCCGATATATACGCCACGCTCAGATTCTCATCCTCCGTGCCGTTGAACGGCGCCGCACTCATGATGCTCACGACCACCGCCGTCGCTATTGGCTCCTGTCAGTATTACACGGCGTAGAGAAGCAGGCCGCGCACGTATGTCGCCCGTGTTAGCCCACCCGCCCGCGACGATGATGCCCCAGCGAAAGCGATGTGGGACCCAGAACAGTTGCTTCACGGCCCACCCGATGAACAGGCCGATAAAGATATAAATCACTGCGACAAGCAGGATGGGGGCTGCTCTCTGTCAGCCGACGCGAGAAGGCCAGGAAGAAGACAGACCTATTGAGTGGATGTTCGACACCGAAAAGGCCGGGACGATCTTGCTGAACATGAGGCTGGGGTATGTAACATTCTGCACCCCCTTCAGCGAGGCAGCGACAGGGCGGAAAGGAAAGAAAGACATACGAGGAGAACTTGGCTCGCGCCTTGAGCAGCGACGGCAGGGAACAGGTCTGCTTTCGTGACGACGAAGCCAAAGCCAGTGCATATTACGCTAGAAAACGGCTTCATATGAGTCATATTGCCCTAAGAGCATTAAGCAAACGCACAGCCGGAGTAACGGGCGGCAAGACGTCCAGATGAGCTGCCCCGCGGAGAGCATCGAAAGCTGCTAGGCCCCTTGGTCGAGGGAAAGAAAGGGCGGGCACGAGGAGGAGGACCAGGGAGGCGAAGGCTATCGGAGGGATGGGAAAAAACGAGCAGCCAAGCGAAGCTCGGCCCGATAGGGCTCATGGATGACCCGTTGCCGACAGGCGGCCCATGAGTCGCAGTGCCAGGCGCCGCCACACCTTGCGCGTCGTGAGTAGAGAGCGTCGCGGCCCCGGCTTTTGTCGTTGGCCAATGTGAGCCGGTGGAGGGAGGGTGGAAAGATGGTTGATCGGGATGACGTAGCCCGGCTTTCGTGAGCGGCACATGCGTGCCTTGCATCCAATTTGTGTCCAGCGCGTCCGCTTGTCGTGCTCGTTCTCGCAGGCAAGTCAAAGGCTCTGTTTCCCACTCTGACGCTTACAAACTTCTGACCCACATTTGCTGACGACTCCGCCGAGCGGGTCAATCAGCGGGTCACGATAAATAATTCGTCACGCGTGACAGCGTTCTTTTCGTTGACGACAACATCGATGGTGTCCGCACTGGCTCAATGGCTGCAGCCTAGTTGGACGACGTCTAACGTGGTCGGTTTGCTCTTCTTCGGGGCATTCTGCTGACGTTGCCGAGGACACTGCTTGTTGCCATCCCGCGATCTGCGCCCCCTTTTCATTTTTTACTCCCGGTCTTGTGTAAGCAATCCTATCCTATCCACGCAGTCGTGATGGCGACGCCGTCAAACTGGGTGTTTGGTCTCAAGTCAATCTCAGGTTCAACCAGGTCTATTCAATGCTCCTTCCAGATTGTGGGTTGAATGCCGAGGATAGAAAATAGTAACGGGTCCCAACAAGGCCGCGCCGAACCAGCAATATTGCTCGGCGCCCGTTATCTAGCCTCGACCGACCGACATCAGCGCCCCAAGCATTCGAAACAAATTCTTGTCGAAACTTGGGCAACGCCACTCGGCGCCAGCTCGGCGCTTGTCCAAACTTCGGCATCCAAGTCTAACGATCAGCATAGAGACGATTTGCAAGACGGAGTTGATGGACGAGCTATCGGACGGGAAGATCGCACTCACACGCACTGCCTCCGCAGCATGGTCTTACTTTAAGGTTTTACCTCTCCTCTGTCCCACCCTTTCCCTCCCCCCAACCCGCCTACCCATCTGCGGCGCCGCCCGCGTGTTTCTCCCTAATGTCGCCCTCTACACCTTCACTCCTTCGCCTCTCCCTTCTTTCTCAACTGTTAATCTTTTCTTCGCCAATTTGGGCGGCCAACCCTTTCGTTCAATACGCTAATGACTTTATCGACCCCGGATATATCGCGGGGCTGAACGGAAAATATCCTGCCAGCCTGAAAAGCGCGCAGAACACCATCGTTGCGTGGGCCGAGGAGCTGAATTCACACGGGCCTTGGAGTGCGTGTCTACCTTGCTGGTTTTTAATCTCACTGATATAGTTTCCCTCAGGCGTCACCTTCAAGCCCGTCGTCGCCCCGAGCAACGATAAGCATGACTACATGAGCTGGGCCCCATAGTGCGTCGTCCACTATCCTTTCTGCGCTTCGCTTACCTTACCGGTAACAGCCAATGGCCCGATTGCTCGTCAGTTAAAAATACGACGGTTCTTACGCCCGCTGAAAGTACGCCGTCCATCTGCCCCATCATCGACTCGATGCCTGATTCATCTTTCATAGTCCGTACAACCTGTCCCTATGTGAACCGAGACGGCCAGGTCAATCCTGACCGCAGCATCCCCAACGACTTCCAGTCCTTCTTCAACGTGTCCGACGCTGTCCTGTACAACTCCCTCGCATCAACGTTCCAGGCGGGTTCTGCGGGAAAGTATCAGGCAAATGCCGGTGTGTGAAGATACCTCTCTATTTAGCTCTTGCCAACGCGGGTGATGCAGTCAAGTACATCAAGACGTGGTTTCTTGACGAGGCAACAGCGATGAATCCCAACCTGAAGTATGCCCAGATGCGTCTGGGGCCAACGGGACAACTTGGTGCGTATTCAGATGTCGATATCGCGACCGAGATTGATCTATTTTAGGCACCTTCACCGGCATCCTGTCTGTATCATCGATCCATCTTCGATGCCACGCTAACTGAATGCGCCAGTGACCTCCGCATGATGGCCAAAGTCGTCTCGGGTGTGCTCATCCTTCGCGAGACGAAGGCGGCGGCGTGGACGCAGGACATCGACAGCGCATTCGTCAAGTGGTGCAAGGCATACATCAACTGGTTGCAGACGGCGCCGACTGCGCAAGAAGCCCGAGATGCGAAAAAGTGTGTGTGTTACCTGTCCGTCTATCCCTGATTAAAGTCCATAGTAACCATGGCACGTTCTTCGCCGGCCAGTTCATGGCACTTCAGGTCCTCGTTGGTGACAACGACGGCGCAGCGAAGACGGGGAGAGCGTACTTTGATGGCGAATTCAAGAACCAGATCGCAGCGGATGGCGATCAGGTGAGTTTTCAAGCATATCTTGAAGGACAAACTAATGACATCTTACAGCCACTTGAAGCTACACGGACGCATCCATACCACTACCGCGGCTTCAACATCGCGGGGATGATCACCGCTGCCCGTTTATTAAAATACGCGGACCCTTCCTCAAATGTGTGGCAGACCAGTAGTCTCGCGCCAGGGGCGACAATCCAGAAGGCGGTCGACTTCTTCATGAGCACAGACCCCGCCAAGTCGGGCGAGACAGACGTCACCTACGAGATTTACCCTAATGTTGCCGCCGTTGCGGCGACATATGGCGACGCCGATGGAAAATACATAGACTTCCTGAAGAAATCGGGCTTTCCGTACGCGGGCGACGCGTTCTTCCTGTGGGACCAGCCGCTGGGCGTGCGGACTGGGAGTGGGGTATCTTCTGCCGCCGTGTCACGATCTAGTTTGCCTTCTCATAGTGCTCCACAGCCGTCGTCTTCTGCGACGAGCAGCACTGGCCCGCGCCCGCCGGCAACCGGCAGTGGAAATAGCGTCGGGAGCAGTGGCCAGGGCGGGGCTCCAGCGGACAATACCTCCCCGAACAACAACGCGGGTGGTGCTCCTGGGCGATCGGCGAGCGGACGCTCGGCATCGTCAATGCTGGGCTTGTGGGTGGGTGTGGTGGGTGCTGTAATTGGACTGTTGTAGTTGGACATTCACACTGATCTTATGCTGTACTATATATTTTAAGAACTTACTGAAGGTCATCTTCACAAACAGCACAGGATACATTTCTTCTTCTAGCATATCACACACCAGGGTTTCAGCCAAAAGACAACACATGGGTTGGCAGGTAGGAAATTTGTTATCTATACCCATACCCATGTGGGTAAAACCCATGTACCCATGTGGGTATGTCTTACCCATGCTATTGCCTAACCGCAGTGGAGAATGGTATGTCTTTGCTTATCAGCAGCTTATAAGAACAACAGACAATTGACGACTTGACTTGTATTATCATATCCTAAACTATTCCTACTGAGTATTGTAGAGACAATCAGTGCTGGATTGTGTTGCCAATTGCCAGTATAATAGAAATGTGACCTGGAGTACTAATTGACATCACATCTCTCATAATATCCTCTACCACCAATACACGATTATCTCAACTAATCATTGCAACCTTTTTTGACAAGAAAAGCTTGAAACAGCTATCAAATTGGAATTTGGCAGACAGACCCTCTCTTGGAGAAACTCCAAAATATTACTTTTGGCAGGATGTGCACCCAGTTTTACTAATAAAATTGTGGCTACTGGTGAACGGCCTTCCTCATAAAACCTGGGGGAGCTCATGCCACCAATGGCCAGAAGTATGGTGACAAGAAATGTGACGTTCAATCAATTGTGAATATCTCAATAAGTTTGACAGCTATGACTAAGATATTACCAAATATGGAAAGGCAAATCACTATTTTTCAGGCCGAAGACCCGGATAAACATCTAGGTAGGCCTGTGATCTAAGGCAAAGGTATACATCCTAATTAGGCCAAAATTGATGTATCCTGATATAGTCATCAAAAGCACTGATGCCCATAAAAAATTGTTCCACATTGATCAATATATCTCGCCGCCATGAATTCCATCATCAATATCATGATCAAACACCTAAATATGCATAAAATGTTTTTTTTTTTTAAAAAAAAAAGTGTGACATTTGTGACTCATGAACCCTCCCCCAGGTTTTATGAGGAAGGCCCTTCACCAGTAGCCATGTTTTTACTAGTAATCCTAAGTGAATGAGCTGCTTTTGGCCTAGATGGAGACATTCCTTTATATACTCTCCCTAACCTTTCTCCTTGACCAACATCTTCTCGTCACCACGTTGGCCCCTGAAGTCACACTTCTATCATTCTCAAAAGACACAGACATGGTTATGTTGTCCCTGCTGTCCAAGTAAATGATGCAGTGACTATAGCGATTAGAGACTTCACATGTGGGTGTGGCTAAACGGTGTGGGCCTGCGCCAATGGGACTGCACGCGTCGGCGTGGCGTGGGCAGGTGTGGGACCTTCTGTGGAGGCTATCCCTGGTCCTATGGTGGCGACCACGAGTCGTGGCAGTGATCGCTCAAGAGGCCTCTTTGGCTGGTGGCAGGAACCCAATGGCCTTGGACTCGGAAGGGCCAGAGGCCTCTTTCTAGGAGGCTAACCCTTTTTGATGGCGATCATCAATTTTTGATGGATAGTATAGATGCATTTCTATGACCTAGGCATATCAGAATGCTACTTCTCTATATAGTCATTGTCAGCCGAAAGGTACACAGTGCCATCATCAGGGATTGCATCAGCTTTGGCGTTAGCAAGATACAGATTATACAGATGATGCAATCAAGATCCAATCCCAAGGGCCTTGGCACCTTGGGCAATCACTGACCACGACACCTCAACGACTATTATATGGCGGTCAGTTGTCTGCGACACCCTGTCGGCTCCCATCAGAACACATCAAAGTGTGCTGATCGTCGTCAACTGTGGTGCCAAGATATCTTGGCAAAGCACCTTCTGGTACTGTCTGCATAACGTTCACGGCACGGGCGTCCATTTACATAATTTTCCTACGTTATATAAGGGTTGCAAAATTTTTGAGCTATGAAAGAAAAAAAAAAGACATTTATCAGACCGCTAAGCCCTGATGACTTCAATCTTATTTGTTTGATAAACCATACCCAACAACTTATAATAATCCAAAGTCTATATAGAATGTCTCTGCATTCTATCTATGGGTTTTCTAACCTCTTGGTCCGTTTTGCAATATGGACCAGAGAATATGCTTTCTTGGTATCTCTTCTAATAGTTTACTTCCACAAGCAACTGTCTTCTCATATTTTGAATAATACACAAGAAAGGAGAGCCATTCCTTGCTGATACTCATTACTAAAGGCAGCCTAGTAAAATTTTTAGCATTGATCTCACTAATGTTATAGCAATGTTAGCAAAATTCCAACCTTTTTTATAGACTCAGTCACCTCAGCATGGGAAGAATTTTATCAGCGACCTAACCTTTCATCATATCAAGATGCCCTCTCCCTTATCAATAGTCTTTTGCTTCTTGGTTTCGGACCCAAGGCCATAATATGAATGCAGCTTGCAAAAATCTTCTTGAACTGGCAGGGATTTCTTTGTACAGAGCTGACAGTCAAGGAGATAATCCAAGTTATCTGGGAAAGTAAATAAAAAGAGTGCACTACAGGGGTTGGAGCTGCTTGGGTTTGATGTTGGGGTTGACAATCACAACAGTGAGCCGTTATAGATGTTTTTGATCGGTCTCTGATACCTCTGAACAGTTTTCCAAATTGGAAATGAGACCTGAATCTCGATGATCAGCTTAGTACTGATAATAAGGTACAGTTGCGGAGAATCAAAGCTGACAACTCTTTAAAACTGAAATTGTAGCTCAGCTATTCCTGCTATGAGAAATCTGAGTTCAGAATCAGATTCGGAGGGTCTGAAAAACCCATATAGTATTTTTACGTAATTTTAACCTTAGGATTTAGTATATAATCTTTTTAGAATATCTTCTCTGTAAAATAACATGGGGACCCAATAGAACTAGCGTAAGCTGTAAATTGACCTTGGGAAAAAGCTAACTACTACAGAAAAGAGATATGGTATTTAAGCATTTTACATTATGATGTCATAGTGGAGAATCCATATATATTGATTGTTGAACAGGGACAAAAAGGGAGAGAAAGAACTAACTATATTGTAGAGTTGACACTACTTAAATACAAACTTAGGTTCATAGTCATAAGTATACAGAATGAGCAGTTAGGATAAAACGTGAGACAGGCGCATTGCGAGCACCATCAAATATATAATCACTGCCATGCTGGGCAGTTGGTTGTCCATGTATCGTGTGCAGACACGTTCAAGACGTGTCAGGGCGTCCACTTGGCGTGGTGTGGGTTTGCTACATCCAACACTTCCCCTCAAACCCTATGCAGTCCCATTGCAGCAGCGAAGTGCTTTGCCTTCGCACTTGGAAGTGCCTTAGTCAGGCAGTCGGCAATCATGTCCGCCGTGGGACAATAAACAAGTAGGATCGTGCTGAGTTCGAGCACGTATTAGATAAAGTAGTACCGAATGTCAATGTGCTTAGTTCGTGCATGAAACTGTCCGATGTCAGAATGAGCAAGGGCGATTGACGACTGGTTGTTGCCATAGAGTGTGATAGGGTGTTCGAGGGCGGAATAACTCGCTGATGACTCATGAGCAAGCACAACCAAATCGCCTCCTTAGGCATGGGTTAGGGCGACATACTCAGCCTCTATGGTTGAGAGCGTTACAAGCTCTTGCTTTTTTGAGCCCCAGGAGACCACACCACCATCTATGATGAACGCATAGCCAGAGATGGCATGTCGATCTTCTTGGGACATGCCGTCCACGTCAGAATAGCCTTCCAGTCCAGTTCTGCCAGCGCTGTAAGTCAAACGCAAGGACTTGGTACCCACTAAGTAGTGGAAGACCCGCTTAACAGCTTACCAGTGAAATTTCAACAACAATCCCATGGCAAAGGCAATATTAGGCCGTGTGCCAATAGCTGCCCACATGAGCGAGCCCACCGCCTCATGGTACAGGACACGTCGAGACGTGTCTGGGTTTGCCGTGTCTATCAGGGAAACCCCTGCTCCGGCCTCCTTTGCACCGTCCGAGCACATCTGAGGCGCATCCGATTAGCGCCCCCTTGGACGCTCTGTCCCAGCCCGACCCTTGTCCTTGGCCTCCTTCGCCCGCACAATCACCGATTTGTCAAGACCCTCCCAATGATCACCTTAGAACAGAGCTTGCAATGCCGCTTGGGCCTTTTGTGCTCTACGTCGGCAGTTACGGACGACCAGTATGTAATTGGTGCGCTAGCAGGCAGATCCTTAGGTAGGATTTCTTCTCTTTGGATCCTCCCCTGCTAGGTCGGTCCCTCCGTGTATTTCCTATAGCCTTTATTCACGCTTTGGATTCTCCCCTGCTAGGCTTTTGTTGGGATCTCCAGGGTTGCCCTTACAGCATCCAACATTAATTGCTACCAGGCTTGTACTCCCAGTAAACTCAGCCAAAAGTGCTGCCAGGTGAATGTCCAGTGCCTAGACCTGCACCAGAACCTGTGGTTGGTCACCGAGTACCCTGTCCAGCCACAACCAGTCAGACCCTTGCTCGAAAGCCCTTGAGAGACACAGCTAGCCCACAGTATTCAGTGATGCAGCACCGACGGTTTGTGTTAAAGATACCCTGCTTCCTTGCTGGCTTACGCAAAAGCTGACCTATAATAGTCATAGTTTGCACCTTCTAGTAGTACAGAGGCAAACCGTCAAGAGTTGTTACCCTGTTACCGCCTATCATCCACCTGGGGACTAGTTGGGCATCCTGGCGCTGATCTGTCAGGCCTCCATCAGTCATGTGCCTCATCGCACACAAAGCAGGATGCCCGACTATCTGTAGAATAGGCTTTAGAAGGTCTTCAAGCATGGCTTAGTCAAAGCGGCGATCACAGAGCTTCTGGGGAGAAAATCAAGCACAGGACATACCTACTAACGGCCTTTCTGATCAGCATCCAGCACTGCAGCCTCAAGAATTGAGCCAGGGTTAGTTTCTTCAGCACAACTATCAGGACCAAGTGTTGACATGATAAAAGGGTTGTAGACATCATCAGTAAGGAACACTGAATCAAGTGCAATGTCAAGAGAAACAGATGATTCAGTAAACCCAAAGAAACAGGCAATTGCTTGGAAAGTGAAGATGGTGATGTGATGGAGCTGTTTGTAGTGCAATTGGGAAGAACCAAAGACATCTGGATGAAATGCATTCAGACCAGCAAGTGAGATCATAGTGAAGGCTGAAGCAATATGCTCATCGTCCCTGCTGTCACGCGACTGAGGAGCTGGTAAGCACGGGCCAGCACATCCTGCACTGGCTGCTTGGCTTTGATGATGAGATCATCCACATGCGCCTGGAGATTTTCGACATGAGCATGGCGCTGATCATACCACTCTTTGCTGCATCAGCGTCTGCTTAAACACACCACTGAGGCAACAAACCCAGCTTTAAAAAGTTTGCTGTAGAACAAGCAGTAAGCATATGTAAGGGCAACCCTGAAGACTCCGATGAAAGCCTAGCAGGGGAGGATCCAAAGAGAAGAAACTCTAAGGGTCCGCCTGCTAGGGTGCTAACTATATACTGGTCATCCGTAACTGCTGACGTAGAGCACAGAAGGCCTGAGCGGCGTCGCAGGCTCTGTCCCAAGGTGATCGTTGGGAGGGTCTTGACGGATCGGTGATTGTGCGGGCGAAGGAGGCCGAGGCCGAGGGTCGGGGTAGGTCGGGGCGTCTGAGGGGCACTGGTCAGATACGCCGCGGATGCGCTTGGACAGTCCGAAGGAGGCCGAAGTGGGGGTTCCCCTGACAGCATAATTGCCAGTAGATAAAGGGCCCACACACCGCAGTTGCATTCTCCAAATCTGATGATACTGCCCGGTATGCATGTCTACAAGGTGGTGTTGCAGAGGGTGGTACCAGCCCTGGACATTGAGGTGCTGGCACCCACTGTGGAGAAGGCTTGTGCAGTGTTTGCGCGTCCTCCACAACCACGCTTAGATGTGCTGGGCTGCTGACTGTTGCTGTTCATGCACTTGCGCTTGTTGGTTATGTTGACTCCAGGCATGAATGAGGAAGGGAGTAAGATGCTAAATGATCAAATACGCCCACTGGCATAGTATTTAGCATTGCCTCTCATGAAAGACACAAAGAGCCTGAAAGACCATAAGGCAGGCGGCGTGTTTGATCAGCCATCAAAGAATAATTATAATGTTTAATTTTATGACTGTGGTATACAAAGAGTTGAAAGAGTTGAAAGAGACTAAGGTAGGCGACATTTGATTTCATCGAGTGATGGCATCAAATCCGTGACATCCTCACTCCGTCATGAGGGAATGACTTGGAGAAATTTTAAAACCTAGAAAATGAAGCATTTAGTAGCCTGAGCAGATTGTGGGTTTTAGATTTGCTGTATCTGTCCCCAATATGAAGTTATACCTTCCTCTTTAAGAAATTATTCCTTATTTTTTTCTGGCTGTTATTTGGCTTTCTGAGCATTTTCATCTCAAGGATCTGAAAATATTCGCGCGTTATATGTCACATCACATGACTGATTGCCATGTATATGTAATCACATCCGACGTGATATCTAGCTGTTATACATGAGACCGTAAAGAACTTAGCTTGTACAACTTATAGATATGCATGAAATAAGCTCAAAATCATACTTGGAGGCTAGTCTAAGCCCTTACCTAGCTTGATCTTACATAAACTCTCAGTCATAATTTGGGCCCCCAAAAATTTAATGGTTTATTTGGTGTTTTCTGGCTATTACAATGCAGTCTCAAAATATCTCTCGAAAATTTCGCTCGTGGCTGTGTCTATCAGTCACATCAGTAACGGTCGATGAAATCAAATGTCGCCTACCTTAGGTCTTCCCTAGCCCTGTTATTTCCCATCTGACGCAAGCATTGCCCCGGTGTAAATGCTTCAGGATGAGAAATACTGAAATTTTTTCCAATTCTGTTCTGGTCCCATTACCCCCCCACTGGTCATTCTAATTAGAGAGGATAGCACTGAAACCCCTACACTGTGATAAATACTCCAATAAAGCCGCCAAGGGGGGTTCAAGATCCGAATCACGGATATAGGGTCGGAAAGTTTTTTTCCGACCCTCCGGGGACCCCCCCCTCCCCCCTCCTACCATATAGGGTAATATGTTCCTATGATCAGCATCATGTGACCACTGATGTGATCAAAATTGGCATAAAAAATTTAATCTTTGTGAAACTTTTTTTTTTCAAATTTTTTTATATATTTGTATATATATGTGTGTAGGTATCTATATACCTGGAACCCTTAAATACACATGGCAGGCCATATCACTGTTCAATATGTTCACCTGTAAGGGCAACCCCGGAGGCCTGAGATCAAGGTCCTAGCAGGGGAGGATCCAAAGAGAAGAAACTCTGAGGGTCCGTCTGCTAGGTAGCTGACTATATACTGCTTGTCCGTAGCTGCCGCTGTCGGGCACAGAAGGCTTGGGCGGCGTCGCAGGCGAGGTCCCAGGGCGACCGTCGGGAGGGCGTTGACGGATCGGTGATTGTGCGGGCGAGATGGAGGGCCAGACCGGAGTCGGAACCGGAATCGGACCGGAATTGGGCGCGTCTCCGGGCCGAAAGGGAGGTTCCCCTGACATCACCTCTCATCCATTACCTGATGATGGGCCTGTGATAGGGTGTACTATCCAGGCTCATGGGCCTGAAAGTATATAGATATAAGTATGGGGGTTGTGAACTATAGAAATGAGAGTTTATACACTATATTTTCAGTGTCTTTACACCCATATAAGGCCCAAATCTTTTATATATAAAAAGTTTTTTTACCCCCCGGACCCCCCCCCCCCACCCCATGTGCCTGATAAGGATCTTGAACCCCCCTTGAAAGCCGCTATAAAGTGAATAAATCCTGGGCTGGAATCTTACAAGGTAACCTCAGCCTTGGATATCCACCTGTGGATTCCACATTACCCACCTAATTAGGATGGATGATACATCACAGCTCCCATCCTAATTGTAATGAGAGCACTCAAAAGGCCTATGCAATAAATACTGCAATAAAACTGCAGCCTCCCCATAGAAAAGTAGGAGGCACTCTGTATACCCACTTTGTATTCCATGCTAAAATACTACAAATGTGGTCCCCCAAACTTTTATATGGCAAAAGTTTTTTTACCCTTCCTGGGCCCCTACCACATGTCTGTGATAAGCATCTTGACACCCCCCCTTGATTTTGCATACCAAATCTGGTGTGATGTTGAAATATTTCTTAATAGCAACCCTTGGCACCGGAGGTGCCCGGAAATGTCAGAAATCACCATTTAGAGATGTGTTTCCCCCTGAATCTGTGTGACATGTGAATTATCGGCAGTGTGACGCGTAAAATACTACAGTCTGAGCCAAATCCGGACAACATCCTCCAAAGAAATTTGGGCCAAACTCACTCCTAATTAGGTGATGACGCCGGCAGTTGAAGTGTTCGTCAGGGGGGACTCAAGGACTTGGGCTCTTTGGCGCTCATGCCTGAGCCGAAACTGGCAGGGCTGTGTGCAAGAAGGAGAGCGCTCCTGCCAGTGACTGGCAGTGAGCCCTACACCGCACCTTGGACTACATCGCGCGGTCCAGACCCTCTATCCTTGGATCACACTCGGAGGCCGCTACGTTCAACGGATTATGCGCGCCGACGTCGTTTCAGAGCTGGGCGGCTGCTGTCACCCGGCGTGGTTTGGAATTCGTGCAGGTTTCAGGATACCCCCAAGCCGAGTATCGATGTCAATCGCCCCTAGCACCTTGGGATACGCCAGGGCGAATCATATAAAGGCGGGCGCTGGGCGGGCGTCTCTTGCAGTTTGGGGCGGCCGCCGGACGCGGGGCCTGATCGCCCGCTGTCACAATTTCACACGTCCGAGGCACTTTGCTCTCGACGACCATCATCCTCCTGAGCGCACGTCATGGCTTTATTAACCCGTTCGGGCTTCTCGGGTATGCACTCATCATGGCGACCGCCGCTTCCCTGGAGAACATCTTTGCGTGCGTGATGTTGATGCGTGGCGCACTCCGACATGCCCGACTGATGTCCCCCGCAGGCCCGTTTTGGTTGGCTCATGGCTCAATGTGATAGTCTACACACTGGAGCTGCTGCTCGCGTATCAGTACTACTGGAACAAGAAGCGTGCGTGCCTTCATTTCGTTCTTCCCTCAAGCATCTCAGCCATCCCAGATTCTTCTCCCGGCGCAAACAGTACTGTAGTGCGATGGATCGTGGGCGTGGCGCTTTTTGTCGACACTCTTGGGACGCTGGCGGTTTTCGCATACGCATATCTGGTGCGTCTTGTCGATGGCCTGCGGCGCCGTGCATTGACTGCTTCAAGTTTTTGGTGGCTCACTGGGGAGAGCCGGCGTTTCTCGCGCGGAACCCATGGCCAGGGTCTATCCATGTGCGTGGCTTGTACGCTACATGTCGTTTCCTAACGCACACCAGGCCATCACCTCGGGCATCGGCTCGGTTATCGTTCACTGGTATCTGACGTGGCGGTACTGGAACCTGTAGGGCTTTTATGCCAGACCTGTCACCTCATTATCAACTGACCGTGCCTACAGGTCCCGGAACTACGTCGTCTCCGTCGCGCTGTGCCTCGCCGCGCTGACGTCGACTGCGGGCGCCTTTGCGGCAGGCATCGGCGCCGCAATGCGTGACGCGGTCGTGGAAAGAGACAGGATCATCCCCCTCTGCATGTGCGCTGCCCGTTTCCCCTCACAGTCTCTGGCACTGACTCGTCGGCAGGGTCTGGCTCATTGCAGCTGTCGTTACCGACATCGGCATAGCCGCCGCGCTCGTCTTGCCACTGCGGTCATACAAGAGCGCCTTTGCGCGGACGCAGTCGTGCGTTTTTTTTGCCTTGCTCCCACACTTCGCTCACAGCCCGCTAGTGTCATCCAAAGGCTCATCGTCGGCGCGATCCAGACGGGCAGCGTGACTGCGGTCATGGCAGTCGTGACCCTCACCACGTTTGTGGTGTGGCCGCGCACAAGCATCTCGCTCGCGCCGTGGTTCCTCCTGGGCCGGCTCTATGGCTGCACGCTGCTGTTCAACCTCGTCGCGCGCCGGCCGGGGAGCGCGGGCGGCACGACTCAGTCGGACGATCCCGAAAACTTGTCCGGATCACGCGCCGCCGTCAGCTTCATCAGCCACCCGCGCGAGCGCGCGACCCGGATGGACACGTTTGGCGGCATCCGTGCGTGATTCGTTACAAACCTCATCCCTGCTGCTGACCTTTCCGGGCAGATGTCCACCAGATTGTGCAGGTCGCCAAGGACAACGATCTCCGCGGCCGCGGGCTCGAGTCGAAGCTGGCAGAGGACGCGGAGATGGCGGATGACGCGAGCGTGGCAACTGGGATTGGCAAACACGGACAGCCGATGCCTTAACCTGCTGGACGACTGTTTTAATTGTAGTTAATTCAAAGAGGTGGATATGTAATGCGATGCTTCCGAATATACTTGGTGAACCAACTTGAATTGCATCATCCAAAGTGCAATATATCGAGCACCCTCCCGCCATCCACCGAGCCCTGTCAGCCATGAATTTATTTAATAATTCACAGTTAGGTATACACACCTTCTCCCCGATGATACACGCGTTGCTGAGATGGACACTCTCCCAGTCCACCGCCTCCCGCGAGACGATATCGACGTAGGGCAGCGCAGAGACGAGGACGTCCGCAAACGCGTCGTGCATCGGCAGATCAAAGTCAGGCTTCACAAGCCGAACCGTCGCGTGCTCGCTCACGATGCAGGTGTCCGCATTGGCGCCTCGCTCCCCAAGCTGTGCCCGCACGTGCTCCACACTGGCCGCGCTGAAGTCAAGCACGCGCACGTGCTTCGACTCCGGATCCGCCTCCGAGATCCCCGACAGTGCCGCGAAGCGTGTGCCGACGCCAGTCGCGGCGTATCCCGAAAGGCCCATGCCCGAGGCGTCGAGCCACACGGCCGCCTGCGGGGCCCAGACCTCGAACGGCACTTCCTCCAGCGGGGCGCCCTCGCTGAGATCGGCCCGCTCGTACGCCCTCTGGAAGCACTGCGCGAGGCCGGCCCGGTCGACGACGACGACGGTCCGGGCCGGCTCCGGCGTAGGCTGGTCGGTCGGCCCCGTGGCGAACATGAGGACGAGGAGGGACTGCTCCGGATCTGGCCGGAACGCGGTGCGTGTTTTGACGGCGGAGAAACGAGGATCATCCGCGAGGCTGGGCGAGCTGTGCGGGTTAGGCGCGCCGCGGCAGGCAAATGTCTCCCAGAAGATGCGTTGGCCCACTCGCAGCCACGGGAGGCGGAACGCAAGCACCCAGGAGGCGGTTTCGGCGCCCACCGCGAGGACATCAAGAGTGTGCGCTAGCGGGTTCGGCGCGAGGATGAGGGTGTCCTGCAAGAAGACGAAGCTCGGCACTTCACACGGGACCGCGGCGATGGCGTGCCCGGAGGGCCAGTGGACAACGTGCAATTTGTCGTGCTCGCCGTCCAGTTCGTCGCTGTTCATGAAGCAGCAGGCAAGCGCGAGCGTGGCGCCGGCGGCCTCGACCCGGATGTCCGGCACGCCGTACCGCTCCGGGACCGTCGTGACATCGATCTTGCGGGGCAGCCCGTCTTGCACTGCGCCGGTCGACAACTGCCTGAGGTGCACTGCGAGGGCACACATATCCGCACTAGCAGCACTGTTTCACGTCATCAAACAGCGGAGTTACAACACACAACACCCACAATGTGACCACCACCATGAGATCCCGCTCCGACACCACGCACAAGTCGACAACAGGCAGCGTGATGTCCTCCGGCGCGCGCCATCTCCCCCGGTCATCCAGGAACATATACTCCATGCGGTCGAACAGGCCCGTCTCCCTCTGTGGGTCGTCGTTGTACGCCAGCGCATAGCAGTCCTCGCCCACGTCATACAGGCCCATGTCGCGCACCGCCACTTCCCAGCGGTCGACCGGGGAAAACGCCCGCCAGCGGTCCTCCCTGTCGCGCAGCGCCTGCCGCCGGGCGAAAAGCGGGGCGGCCGCACCCCGCCCGTACGGCGTCTCAACCGCTGCGTGCGCGGCCTGCTCCATGCGGAACTGGATCGCCGGCGCCTCATAGATGAGCGTGCTCAGACTCCGGTTGTGCAGCGCCAGCAGGGACAGGATGTCGCCGAGCGGGAGGTGGCCCAGGCATGCGAGGAGGACTTCGGCGGGGAGGTCGAGCAGGTGCAGCGACATCAAGGGGGAGGACAAGCTTCCACATGCCGCTCATATGTCCTGTAGCCCATCATTCCAGGTGTCGGAGAGGTTGGCAGTGCCCGGTAATATGGACAGCAATCTGAGCAATTGCCAATGCCTTGCCACTGGCACAAGTTGCCGCTGCGTGCCGGATGACAGGTTTGTAATGTCAGGATGGGGAACAGAGCATTGAACACCGTCGTGGTCCCCGAGAACGAGCACGACCAGCGGACGAGATGGAAGAGCAGATGCAAGGCACGTTGTTGATGCATGTCATCATTGTCATGTGCCGCTTACACAAGACTTGCTACGTCATCCTGCACTGGGCTGTTTCCACAATTTCTCCCAAGGGGGTCCCAAGATCCTTATCACGGACATGGGGTAGGGGGGGGGTCCCAGGGGGTGGTGAAAAAAACTTTTGCTATACAAAAGTTTGGGGGGGTTCTGGCAGGCCTGAGGTTGGCTTTGTACTACATTTGTAGTATTTTAGCATGGAATACTATGTGGGCATATAATATGCTTACTACTTTCCTATGGGAAGGCCTACAACACCTTGGTTAGGCTGCACTGTGCTCAGATCCACCAGAACCGCCTAAAACTTTTACTATGCAAAAGATTTTACACCACCCCCCATGGACTGTCATGGATAAGACCTGGCCTGTCCAAGGGGCAGGCACAAAAAAAAATCCTAGACATCGGGTTGAAAAAGTGAAATAAGTCCCAGAAGACCCTCCCTACCCTATTGACTAAGCATGACTAAGCCATGTGACTTCCCGAAAGGGAAATTATTTGTCATCACAATTTTTCTACAAATTTTCTTGTAACTCTGCCCTATTGCCGCGGTAAAGCACCTCACGACTGGCACAGGTAAGGTACCTCCACTCACCTGCAGGTTTTTTCAGGCAATTCAGCCATACCTCCATCCTTGAGTATTTATGCTTATCAGGTACCTCCATCCATGGATACAGGTACCTTTAAGGGTACCTGCGGATGGGACAAAGGTGGATTAGGTATAAACAAAGGAAATACAGAGCAGTAAAATTATGTTTTAAGTTAAAATGCAAAATACAAGTATAACTTGCACTATCTGAGACTGTATGATCTATTATATGCCAGTTCTGAGGATATTTTAGTGAATTTACAGGTACCTTCAGGAACTAAGTCCAAGACCTCCACTCCCTGCCATCCGTGGGAAAAAGGGTACCTCCATCCGCGGATGGCTACACCTGCGGATGGGGGTCTCAGGTACCTGTTGAACCATCCTCAGGTCCAGCCACTCGTGAGGAGCTTTATGCCGCGGCTCAGCACCTCTAAAAGACACTAAAGATGAGGTAATAGAGCAAGAATTTAGACATTGTGATTGTGAAACAGGCAAAGACAAGCAGGCTGATGATCATTTAGAGGTAGATATGGTGGAGGTCAAAGAAATGGTCATTGATATAGATATTAATGCTTCCTCTTCCTCCTCTGCTTCAAACAAAAATCTAATAAATAATGATTACCAACTCTATCAATAGACAAACCTGAGCTTTTGCACAAAATTGACACTTATTAGTGTAACTTAACGGTCTTGCAACTGGGAGTAAGCCTGAGCCTTAATTATAAGTTTAGATTGGACTATTCGCAACTGGAGGGTTACAGATAAATTGAATTATGTTCCTCTACCTGTTTGGTCTAAGCTGTGATACCAGATCTTCTCAAACTATAACTTCTAGTCCTGTCTCTATCTCAGGTCAAGAATACTAAATTTAAGTAGAAGTATTTAATAGCAGAAGGCAGGTGGCTGGAGCTAAAGCTGGAGCTGGCAAAGTTAATGGACTATTAGAAGCCCTGTCCTATAGTAGTCAAGATAAAGGTTTTGAGGCTTTTATTGCAGTCAGCTTATTAATTTATACAAGGCTTCAAATTACAAGTGATAGTAATAATAAAAAGAAAAAAACTGCTGCTTATTTCCACCCTGTTGACTAAGTAATGAAACTTCTGTACTTGCTATAATCAAACACCTGATGTGGCAGAACAAAAACGTTCTAAGTATGCATTAATTCAAATCCTATTATAAGTGTCCTTTTAGCTTTTCTACCAATATTTGCTTATCTTTCAAAATACATGCTCAAATTAGACATCTTTTGAAGGCACCATCATAACACTTTCACCTAGTTAATATCTGCTATTAAGCAAAAACTCAAAGATTGGCTGCCTTATTTAAAGGATTGCAAAGCACACTTAGTCTAACTGAGAGGCCACAACAATATTAACCTTTAATATAACAGGACCTTAGGACCGAATCACCTTTTTCAAACTAGTTCTAACTGATACTTGGTAGGAAGTTTTTACTTCTCAATCTAAGCAGCTATAGGAGCAATATGAACTATTGACATCACATCTGGTTTATCACAATATAGAACCTATATCTTTGTTCTGAGCTATTGTAGAGCACAACCCTGATAATATGCTAGAAGGTGTACTGCACTTGAATATTGCTGCTCCTGAAGATCAACTAATTAATTGCCTACTGAATACTATTTGGGAATGTGTGTTGGAAGATAACTTTACACCTCTTTTATTTCTGTACTGGGAGTTCAGCTAGTAACTTATGTACATTTCCAAGTTTACCTGACTTACTCGTTTATTTAGAACAGATTTAAATGGTATTGTCAACTTGATTAAGTAGTCAAGGTCTTGAAGAACAAATAATAACAAATGCCATCAAATGCTTGCTTTTAAAATAGACAATAGCATGTCTTTGAGAACATAGAATTTAGACCTTTATTTAACAGGAGAATAAGGTAAAACATCAACTCTTATTTAAACACTGTATTAAGCTCAAGCTATTTAGTGCTCTTATAAGCCTCTCTTATTTATAAACACATTCCTAAGGTGATTTCACCTTATGTTCTTCAATACTTCCTGAACGACTATAATTTGTAAGTTATCTCTTAAGGCTTTGTTCTTAAATAGGATACTAAGTTTTTATAAGAGCTAGAAGCTCTATAAAATCTGAGGTCAGGTGTTGCTGATAGATCCTAGCTGAATACTTAGTAGCTGTAAGAGCAACCCTAGAGGCCTGAGATTAAGGTCCTAGCAGAAGAGGATTTAAAGCATAAACATTGGTAAGCAAATGCAAATGAAGCTGACCTAGCAGGGGAGGATGCAAAGAAAAGAAACTTTAAGGGTCTACCTGCTAGGTAGCTAAATACTACTTGTCTATAGCTGCTGCTGTTGGGCACAGAAGGCCTCGTTACAGGCAAGGTCTTAGGGTGACTGTCAGGAGGGTGTTGACAGATTGGTGATTATGCGGGTGAGATGGAGGGCCGGACCAGAGACACCATCAGAATCAGATCAGAATCAGAGTCGTCTCTGAGAGGCCGAAAGGAAGGTTCCCCTGACAGTAGCTCTCGAAGCTCCAAAGAGGCAGTGGTGAAGGCAGTAAAGGGAGCATTAGGGTGTGGAGGTGCAGAGACCTGAGCGGAGATGCAAAGATGCAAGTAGAGATATGGAGACGCAAGTGGAGATGTAACTGCAGATGCGGTGCTTAATAAGATAAAGTGACAGCATCAGGGTTTCCCCTGACACAGAGATTAAAGATAGAAATCAAGGTCTGCCTGTATGGGCAATGTTAATAGTATTGGTGTTTGCTCTTTACAACTGTCTTAAACACTGCCCAAATAATTTTCAATGTGTTTTATCAGATCATGACAAAGCAGCATATAATGCTAGCATGTTATTCTACAGAGAAGATATTCTAAAAAGATTAGACTAAATCCTAAGATTAAAACTACGTAAAAATACTATATAGGGGTTATCAGACCCTCCAAATCTGATTCTAAACTCAGATTTCTTATAGCAGTAATAGCTGGGCCACAGTTTTAAGAAGTTGTCAGCTTTGATTCTCCACCACTGTACCTTATGAGCCATAGGCGTTATATTTTTACAAATGCAACTAGCTACAGCTAGCATAACGGTTGTCAAATACACTGAGCAGGGCTTTTTGTCACATATGTCACATTCCTTCAAAGGCTTATTTTATTTATTTAAGACTACTATTATGGGAATTGATGATGGAATTGATGGCATCTAGATAATGTCATCAATGTGGAAACATTTTTGATTGCCATCAAAAGTTTTGATGATTGTAACCAGCTACATCATTTCTGTCCAAATTGGGATTATTAATTATTTTCTATATATATAGTCTTCCAAATTATATAACGGGTCTTCGGCCTGAAGAAAAGGAACTTAACATTCATTTATTAAGTATAATCATTATTAATACTGATGTTATATCAAAGTTTGATCAGTCTTATAGGGGAACAGAAGACAAATGTCACGGTTCGGGTCGGGCCGTCCGGGCCGTAAGGCCGCACGGGCCCGTATACCGCCGTCCTCCTGGACGCCCCCTCATTCTTCCAACCCCTTCCGTTCACCCCTACGACCCTGCGCAGCGCCCATCCGATCCGCCCTGGGGCCTAGCGCCCATCCGATCCATCCCTAATACCGTAGCGTATAAAAGTCGTACTTACAAGATGTAGTCGCTAGGCTAATATCGTCTATTCTCCGGGCGAATACCCATCTCTCGTGCTCCTCAGACCCCTCCGAAGTCGGACCCCCGACGCCCGATACGGCCCGAGCCCGACGCTGACAGAATATTAGCCTCCCCCCACGAACGCAAGAAGCGCGACAAATGTCTACCGAGCACGACAGTACGATGGGCACCCCCGCAAGCCAGGGGGACGAACGTGCCCGATTCATGGCCCTGGGCCATAGCGAACAACAGGAGTTCCTGTTCGCCCATCTGTTCCGAACGAGTCAGGAGATGGAGCAACTCAAGGCGGAAAACACCGCCCTGACGAATCGACAAGTGGTCCTCGAGGCCGAGCTGTCCCGAGTAAACGGGGAATACGCAGCTGTACAGCAGGGAGTCATGCAGAGTTACGATCTGCTCCGCCAAGCCAGAGAGGACTTGGCTCATCGGCCCCACGGGGGAAACACACGAGTGACCG